TACTCTCAAAAACCCAAATACCGCTGCTTTATCAATCAGTTAACGACGTTTTTGGCCCGTTTGTGCGCCTAGTTGCGTCTTGTGTACCATTTTATTAATAATCTCATCCTGTATTTCGCCAAATCAATTATCTGCTGCCGAGACAAGAACAATGCAGTGACTGCTGCAATCATGAAAGAGAAACTGCTGAAGGAATTGAAACCTCGGTCAATCGTTGAAGCTGATAAAATCGCAAGTGCAAAACGTCCAAGCCAAGTTTGAACAAATCACGTAAGCCATAATCGAACATAATTTTAACAAGTGTACAAAAAGCCAGATCTTCCGGCATCTGAAACAACAAAATGAGCACTACAATGAGCAGGGAAGCTAAAAATTGACGATCTTCCCCAATCACTCACTAGGAAAAGTAGCCCGAGTGGTTACAAATGCCAAAGCAACCACTTGTCGGTGAGGCGAAACTGATGCTGTATTTGACTCAATGATCCAAGTGGTTGCACATGCCAACAGCAACCACTCGTCGGTAAAGCTAAACTAATGCTGTATTTGTCTCAATGGTCCGAGTGGTTACACATGCCAACAGCAACCACTCGTCGGTAAAGCTAAAATGATGCTATATTTGACTCAATTGTCCAAGTGGTTACACATGCCAACAGCAACCACTCGCCGGTAAGGCTAAACTAATGCTGCATCTGACTCACTAGTCCGAGTGATTACACATGCCAACAGCAACCACTCGTCGGTGAGGCTAAACTGATGCTGTATTTGACTCAATAGTCCGAGCGGTTACATATGCCAACAGCAACCACTCGTCGGTAAGGCTAAACTGATGCTGTATTTGACTCAACGGTCCAAGTGGTTACACATGCCAAAATCAACCACTCGTCGGTAAAGCTAAACTGGTGTTCCATCTGACTCGCTAGTCCGAGTGGTTACAAATGCCAACAGCAACCACTTATCGGTAAGGCTGAACTGATGCTGCATCTGACTCATTAATCCGAATGGTTACAAGTGCCAGCAGCAACCATTCGTCGGTAAGGCTGAACTGATGCTGCTTTATTTGACTTTCTGCCACGAGTCAGTGTCAGTTTGCCACTGAAACGAATGAGTGAATCGTAGAGAGACTGGTTTTCCTAACAGTAAGATCGAATTTTTGTCCTCCAGCAAGAAAGCAGCACTAATTTGTCTATCAGCACATATGTATTACATATTAAAAAGCAAAAAAGCAGTGAAAGATGCAACTGTAAGTAATTTAGAAAACACCCAGGCATATCAGCTGGTAACTTTTATGCTTCTACACTTATGCAGTTCAAATTCACTATGCACCGATATCCATCCAACAGAGGAAGATAAGAACGTACATGCAACAGCAGTGCAGCAGCTAAGAAGGATAATCCTTGGCAGTAGCT